TAAGCTAACATTTTGTTTATGATATCATATGTAAAACCACTAGTAAGTTCTAGAAGCATTGCTCTCCAGTCCTGTGGCCCTCATCACTGCTTCTGTCTACTTATGCTGAGCGTTCAGCATTGCTGTTGGCACGTGCTTCAGCAGAGGAAGCTTGGCCATGCCAGAGAAGGATGTGGCTGGTTCTGGCCCTGTATCTAGAAGAGCTAATTGTGTGGCTTTTTGTAACTGCAGAGTAGTGTGGTGGTGTGTTGGTTTTAAATTCACCTCTTAGCTGGGGGATGGGAGGGAAGGGAAACACAGCTTCTTAATGAGCATTAAGAAACAAAGCACTGCTTTGCAGGGAAGTGTTAGGGCTTGCAAAAGTAAAGCAAAATTTTCAGAAGTGCTTCAAGGACCTATTTTGCAGATGAGGAAAGGTGAGCAAGAGACTTCACCTATGGCAGGTCTGGCATCACAAACTAGAGTCTTGTATTTCCAGTGTCTTAGCTACTTTTCTAATGATAGATACTCAAGCGCCACCTGAAGTCCTTTTGTAAGCTCCAGTTTACAGGCAAGCATGTCTGTTCAAATACATGTATTTATAAAGCTGGCCTTAGGGAAGGGGGAAACAGTCCTGACTTTTGAGCAAACTGTTGTCATGCTGGATGATGTAAAATTGCCAAGTTAGGTTAAAAAGTAAGCTGCATTTTTTGAAAGAGGTGTTCATGTGTTTAGAGCAGCGTAGAGTGGAAAAGAGAGGAAAGGAAGTGAAAACATCTGTTGGATCAAAATGGCTTGTGTTTTTTGTTGCATATGTTGTTTTGTGGGTGGTGGGTTTTTTTGTTAGTGTTGGTTTTGCTAGGGGTTTTTTGTGTGTGTGTGTGTGTATGTGTGTGTGTGTCCCTCTCCCAAGTGCTCAGTTAGACTGGACAGAAGCTAGGGCACCAAGGTGGATGTGGTTTTTGCCTTTTCGGTGCTTAGAAAATCAAGAGGTAGAAAAAAAAGCATCCTGCTACTTCAAAAATCTTCTGACACAGATTGCTGCATAGGATGCTTTTATGTTAATGTTTGTGTATGAAAGTGTTAATTATGCAAACAGTACTTTTAAAATTACTTTTGCACATGTCTGACTTTCCCAAAATGCACCTAACCGCTCTGGGGGGGGTGTGGTTTGTGTTTTTTGCTTTATATGTTATCACATTTCCTATGGTCCTTGTTCTGAATTG